GAATCTTCTTTCACTTCCTGTTGTGTTTATCAGACAGGAAGTGTAGGGAAATCCCACAAAAAGGACACAGAGGGCAAAGAATATGACAGGGGTTATAGCCCTCCCTTACTCTGTCCATGATGTAAAAAATCTTTTAGTTCATTCTGTGGAAATGGAGGCAAAAACAAATGTTATTAATACATGTTTATATTTTCATTTCAGGTCAAATGTAAGATCAGGGAAAAATATTGCAATAGGTCCACTAGATGGAGCTGAGGAGAACATTACTTGTACTCGCCGAAATGCTCCTGATACGGGAACTTCTAGTATCAAGAAGCCGGGGTGGCGAGTCAATATACACGCTGCCCGGCTTTCTGATTGGCGGGGAAGCTGGCTCCATGCTCCCTCATTACCAGGGAGCATGAAGCGGGCTTCCCGGGCAATCCGGAAGCTGGGGAGTGGGTAATGACTCACCTCCCAGCTTCCTGATTTGAACAGAAGGCAGTCCATGCTCCCTCGTGACTTGGTAACGAGGGTGAATCGAGATTGCTTCCCAGCTAATCGGGAAGCCTGGTGGCGAGCCATTACACGCAGCCCGGCTTCCTTAATAGGACTTCCGGTATTCGGTATCGGCGAGTACCGAAAATATCAGTACTCAATACCGAAAAAACGGTATCAGTGCATCCCTACAGGAAATCAATGTTTATTTCCCATGCTTCTCTGCTCCATCAAGTGGACATAATGCTGTATTTCCCTTATATTACATTTTACCTGAAAAGATACTAATAACCAGGGCTTGAAAAATCCACTTGTCCGCTCGTCTGTGACGAGAGGACGGCGGAGCCCGACGAGCAGCTTTACATTCAAGCGACTGAGCGTCTCGAAACGCCCGATTGCTTGTATTACCAGCAGCTGTCACTGCCGTTGCCGGTCCCGAGATCCGCTGTGCCCGATGCGGCCCGGGACCGGCACGGCTCTGTGACAGGAGATCAAAGGGAGATCAGTACACGATCTCCCTTTGATCTACTCTCCAGGCCGGAATGCAGGAAGTTTACATGCAATCAATAAAACAAGGATTGTACATAGAACAATATCGGACCTCTGAAAAGTACAAGCATGCATATGTACTCAGTACTTGGTTTGGGCCCCTTTTGCAGCAATTACTGCCATTACTTTTGCACGATATTCTAATTATTCGAGTTTCACCTGCATAACCGCGAACGTCGGAGTGTGAGCAATAATTTTAGGGCCATTAATTACTGATAACACTAAACTGATGAAAACGCAAAAAAAGTGTTTTAAGCGTCACCTATGACCAATTTTCAGTGTGGTCGTTTTTTGCGATTTTGCGGTTTAACATAAATTGCAGGGCTATAGTCCGGTCATGCTGACTGGTGACATTTTTGACTGACCGGTGAGAGACCCTAACATTTTTCAAGCCCTGCTAATAACAATTGTTTTTGTGCCCACTCTCAGACAACGAACGTACATGTCATTTTCCAGGATGAATGGCTCTGAAAATAATTTATACATACGCCTTTAAGTGATAATTTAGGACTGGATAGGGCTGTTGAAGAGGGGGGGAGCTGTCATTGTTTCGTATTGTACTGTAGGAATAGTCACTAGAGGGGTAACCCACAAATATGTACTGGACACCCCAAGTGCTGAGCTTAGGAATGTAACTATTAGTCTATATGACCTGGCTGACTTTTCACAGGACGTCTGGACACTAAAGGGAGGTTGGAGCAGTGAAAAGTCTGCGGGTAGGGTGTTAAACGTACATTGTTTTAAACCTCCTTTATGGCTCGTTCAGACTATCCAGTGTGATCAGAGCACAGTTCCGTGTCATGAATGCACTGATTCACATAAACAAGGCTCCCCGCGTTCTGGGGCGTGAGGGGGACGTGGTGGAGCCTTTCATTTCAGTGGCACTGCAGAAATGTTCCACGCTCCAGAACGCAATGTCCTGTGTTCCAGTGCGTTGTGATCACAAAAAAATAGTGCATGTACGATTTATTTTTGCGATCCGGTACGGGCGATTTCACTGGGGTTGAAATTAATGGCACCGCCACGCCCCCTCCTGCCCCAGAACGTAGGGCACCTTTGTTTCATGGCAAAAAAACGTGCCCTGAACACACTGGATAGTGTGAACAGGCACTGAGAGCACAGCTCCTGGCAGACTTTGTATTAACCCTTGCAGTGGGACTACCCTTGCACTGGAAGGTTAAAAACAAAGAAGTTATACTCTTTCTGATCTTCCCAGCTGGCTTGTTCTTAGACCGGTCACTGGAGCCTCTCCCCCCCTCCTTTAAAACGGGCTAAGGTCCTGGAAATTGTCACATTCTATACACCGAATGTGTACATATAGGATGCTACAATGTAGGAGGAGAGCGGCTTCAGTCACTGGAGAAGCAGGCAGCCGGCTTGGTAGTTCGGGTAAGGATAACTTTTTTTTTTAGCACCTAGACAAAAATGAGCATTTAACCCTTAGAGTGCGGTGGTGGCCCTACTGCAACAGTTGGGTGCACTTTTGCATGTAGTTCATCTTTAAAGGAACCTGTTCAGATGGCAGCTATCTGTCACAGCAAAAGGCTTCTGTCCAGGGTTGGAAGCTACCATTGCCTGACTTCCAACTAGTTCCAATACAGAGCAGACTTGTATAGCATTATGCCCAGTGCCATGCCTGCCCCGGAACAAGCACTGTGTCTGGGAGTACGGGCCATGGCACCAGACAGGAGGCTCAGCTGGTTCCTTGTAATATTTACCTTCTTGGATAAAATCCAGCTGCATCCAAGCACAGAGACATAAAACATGTATTTGAGCAGATTAATAGAGTGTCTTGTTGCAGCATGACGTGTGATATCTGAATATAAATGATGAGTGTGATCTACAAGAGATAAATATGGCAGCCTAAGTGGCACTTAACTTCCACAAGACTTTGAGAAGGTAATTTAGTCAAATAAATGGCTGAAGATTGTTAAATTCCAGGAGAACAGACAGAAATAATGAGAGCGGGGGGAGATTTATTCAATATAAAACAGGCTACAGGTTGATTTACCCATCTCAGACCAAATCACTAACCAGATTTTCCGATCAGCGTTCCCCTGGAGTTCTGCCACGGGAATAATATCATTATACAAGCGGCACATGCTAGGCTGCATTTCTGGGCCGGTAGATTTTATTCTTATGTACTTACATGAATTGTGGCTGATCTGTGCAAACTCTACGTTCTCATCACTGCATCATCTATGCTCCACATTCTATGTCATAGGACTGACATTTGATTGGTAGCTAAGGACACAAATCCACATATCCAGCAGATATCCAAGGAAGGAATGTTTGGTGGATTATCCTTGCAGGAATAGTAAAATAAACGCTAACACTTATTTTATATGAAGGAGCAATACATTTAGGGGGATATTCACAAAGCTCCCGAAGACAGCCGAGTGAATAACCCAGCAGAAGTGAAGTGAGCTGAATGCTGCCGAGGGCTGCCGGTAATGTGATCACTTACGAAAAGTGGATTGGCACGAAGTCCATTGGCTCACCACTCATCGTGTCACACTTCTGCCGGCTGCGGATTGGTTACTTTCAAGACTTGTAGGAAGCAGATGGAGGGGACTGGTAGGTTCTGACAAAGGGGATACTGCCCCAGAAACGCGTTAACCGTGCCTGTCATGTTAGCAGAAGGAGGATTGCTTCAGACCGCATGTCCTGATGTGACTGACATCTGAGGTTCATTCAGTGCAGATTGACCCCCAGCACACTACAGGCATTCTTGCTTTTTAACATTTTAGACTTCTACACTAGAGAGGCGCACTGCTTTTTCTGTTTCATGTACGCTGCAAATATTGTAAAACAGACTGCTATGCCAGCCCCCCTCTCACGTGTCCCAAGGAGATGTCGCCTGAGGCAATAACCTCAGGCTTCCCATTATAGGGATGACCCTGGGCCTGATTACTATGCTCCATTAATAGAATAGTATGTAAATAGACACGGCACCAGATCTTGGTCTGCACATGTGTGAAATCTGTGCCGGGTCTATTTACATGAAAGGAAAGATTTCTCCTCCTGCAGCTTTTTGTGGTATGTGATGTCAGTATCCCAGGACGCTGCAGGAGGAGAATGGAATGCAACAATGGTGACAGAAGCAGGGCCACTTGGAAAAAAGGTAAATAATAAAAAGTGTAAAGAATGCCACAAACTTACATTTTAGGGTGACTGCTTTAAGTTATTGGACCAGCAAGACTGCCAGGCAGCTAGTATTTTCAGAAGGAGAGGTCACCAATATCAGCCTATGTGGTTGCTATGGGTGACCGCAGTTTGCAATCTTAAAGTGACATTAAACCCTCAGATTTTTTAACATAAACCAATACTGTAATGTGCGCCTTACTGTAATTCATGGTTGTTTCCCTTCTCTTTGCTGCTCTTTCTTTTAAATCCTCATGTCTTCTCATGCTGGGGGAGAACTTCCCTTTTCAGCTCAGGGCCTCTTCCTGTAGTGCTGGCTCAGGTTACAAGCCTATACAAATGTATACACAGACACCGTGTATCCATTCCTGAGACAAGGCAGTCTGCTGCAAAACAGAAGTTCTGCAGAGCATGAGAACAGATACAGATTTAAAAGGAAGAGCAGCAAAGAGAAGGGAAACAACCATGGATTACAGTAAGGCACACATCACAGTATTGTTTGATGTTAAAAAATCTGAGGGTTTAATGTCACTTTAAACAAATTTTGACGTCATACTGGTCCAAGGCCGTGAGTGCAATCTGGACAACTTGGAGGTTTATATTATATATGTGTAAAACTTTGACATATATATATAATAACAACTCTAGCAAGCGCCGCTCACCTGTAGGTCAGACCCTGACTGGTGAAGTTGCACTGATTGGCTGGAAGCTGGAATGTGCATCCCAGTCAGTGTGACCCCCCCTCCCCCGGCAGTGGCTTACAAAACCAGTGCACATAGCAGACTGGCTGCACAGAGAGCATTCATCTGGGATACCTGCTTGACTGGACACAGGAGTCACGCCGCTGCACAGGTAAGCAGCATTTCATCTGTATTGTACTACACACAGAATACACAAAGCAACTCAGTCTACACCAGGGAGATCTGATCCTATTAGTACCGGCTCAGTTTACCTGTGATGTATAGGTGGAAGCACTTCATTTCAGATGCTGTTAGTGCAACGATTTGTTGTATTCGTTTATTAAACCAATATACAGTCATGGGCAAAAATATTGGCACCCCTGCATTTCTGTCAGATAATGCACCACTTTGCGCAGAAATTGTTGCAATTACAAATGTTTAGGCATTCTCATGTGTTCTTTTGTTTGTATTGGTATGACACAAAAAGGTGGAGGGTAAAAAAAGCCAAATCTGGCACATTCCACGCAAAACTTCAAAAATGGACTGGACAAAATTATTGGCACCTTCTCCAAATTGCATTCCAAGTTTTTGTGGAAAAGCATGGACAATCTCAAGGTTACAAGTCCATCTCCAGAGATCTTAATGTTCCTGTGTACACTGTATGCAAAATTGTCATGAAGTTTACAGCCCATGGCACTGTAGCTAATCTCCCTGGATGTGGACAAAAGAGAACAATTGATCAAAGATTGCAACGAAGTATTGTTCGAATGGTGGATAAAGACCCTCCACCAATATTTTTGGCCATGACTGTATATACCCCACGCCAATATAAACTAAAAATACAACGAATTGCTAACATGCAATAGAGCAATATAGTGGTGAGCTACAATCAATCAAAACAATGTGACTTTATGTATGGAAAATGTATTTGTAACAAGTGTAAAGTCCAAGGAGAAATGAAGATCCAATGGCTGAAATGATGATAGTGCTCAAGGTAAGGAATGCTAAATCCCAGGAGACGTCACATGTCACGGGTGGCACAGTGGCGCTGTGGTTAGCACTTCTGCCTAGCAGCACTAAGGGTCTCCAGCTCAAAATCCCGATCAGGACACTACAGGAGTTTGCATGTTCTCCCTGTGCTTGCATGGGTTTCTTCCCACATTCCTAAGACATGCTGGAAGCTAAATTGGCCCTCGTATGTAAGTAAGATAGGGACCTTAGATTGTAAGCTCCTTGAGGCCAGCCTATGATGTTAATATACAAGTGCTGCATAAATTGTTGGTGCTATATAAATTCCTCAGTCAGTGTCTTTAGTGTTAACCCTTTTTCAGTGACTCTCTCACCTTCTCCTGCGACCTAATAAGTCGGTCTCATAACGCTGATCCCTTGGCCACCCCTCACTGTGTAGCTGCCAGCGATTGCTCATCCAATGGTACAACTCTTTATGTTGTTTTACCATGATGGCTTCTATTTTAAGCTCCGTGTATGGAGTATACCAGGGGGTCCCAAAGTATCGGCCCATGGGCCAATTTCGTCCCTCTTGCCAGTACTATGTGGCATGCAGCCAGCTGACAAATCAGGTATGTGGTCACGGACCGCGTACCTGACTTGCGGGAGCAGCTACACAGTCTGCATCTGTCGGATGCAATGCAGACCACATAGCTGCTTCTCTGTGCCGCCACTCGGATCCTTTTGGCCAGTGCACTGAAATCTTTCAGTGAACGATGGCTGCAAGGATGGGTTAGTAAGGTCTGCAGCAGACCTATAAATCGACCACTGGATCACCAGGGATCATGTCTCCTCATTGCAAAAAAGATAAGCAGGAGAGGGGGCTCTATTATTTTATTATGTGCGGGGGAGGGGGGGTGGGATAACGGTGATGTATTTTATATACAGTATGTGTGTGGAGGGGGAATGGGGTTGTATTTTATATATGTGGGGGGGTGTATATATACAGTATATATGTGGGGGGGGGGTAGTGTATTATCTTATATGTGCAGGGGTAGTATGGTTTGATTGTTTTTTTCTGTACGGGGGGGGATCAAGCTGTCCTGCATTTAAGTGTTCCTGTCTTCATGCAGGTTTAGCTCTGTATACATGTGTTTCGTTTTTAATTGGATAGTGGTCACATAGAATTCCGTTTTCTCTAACTGCACTAAACTGATTGATGTGCCCCTACATGCATTGGTGGTCAGTGCAGAAGGGCCCCCGTGCATTGGTGGAATTCACCATTGCTTAAGGAACCCCTAGCAAACTCAGGAGGAACCCTGGCTGAGAAAGGCGGATCTAAATGCTCTTTTATTTCTTGGCAGGTATAACAAATTAATAAAGCACAATAGAACAATATAGTGTCCGGCTACAATCAAAACCATGTGACTATAGATATGCACACAATGGAAATACGTGTCAAAAAATGGAAACAGAGTAAAATCAAACAGTGATACCAAAAAAAAGTATAAGTAACAAATGTAAAGTCCAAGGAGAAATGAAGATCCAGTGTCTGAAATAATAATAGTGCTCAAGGTAAGGAATACTACATCCCAGGAGACATCACTCAACCACCTCCATCAGAATATTTAGTGTTTAGATCTGCTTACTGTTGGACTATAACTGCATACTCTTGTGAGTAAGCTTTTTTTTTATAAAGGTGTTTACATTGGTGTGCACTATGGTGTGTGCTTGTTTTCTTTTAGGATACAGCATCGTGGGGAGAGCCAGCTGAGGAGAATTTACATCCAAACGGCTGTAGAATGCTATAGACAAGAGGGATTCCAGCTGTGTAGTCCAGGGGTCTCCAACTCAATTTACTTGAGGGCCACTTCACAATTTTAATACTTCCAAAAAAATGTTTTACCTATATCTAATATGGTACTATGGACACACACGCACACAGAATAAGTTCCCAATCATATCTGCAAGTTTAGGTGCAATTAGGATTCCTGCGTCCGGAACTTGCATTTTCCTGCAGCAGAAATCCCTCATCTGGTGTTTACAAGTTGGCAGGTGTCACCCATTCAAGTTACTGATCATGTGACCACAGCTCCATGTAACCACCTGCACACCGCATGTAATGCTGTGTGATATGATTACATTTGGTTAGAGATCAATCACTCTCAATCGATGCATCTAGGGAGAGTGATTTCTAACCGCATGTAATCATATCACATACCATTACATGCATTGTGCAGTTGTTTACATGCAGCCGCTGTCACCTGATCATTAACTTAAATGGGTGACAGCTGCCGCTTGTAAACGCCATATCAGGAAAACGCAAGTTCCTGACGCAGGAATCCCAAATCACACCTCAACTTTACAGCTATGAATGGGGCCTTATTGTGTGTGTATTAGTGTCTGGGGTACCATAACGGATATAGTTAAATTTTATTTTTAAGTAGGGAATTTGGCAAGTGGCCCCCATGAGAGAAAAATATTGAGTCGAGTAAATTAAGTTTGAGACCCCTGGACTACACAGCTTGAATCCCTCTGGTCTATAACAATCTACAGCCGTTTGGATGTAAATTCCCCTCACCGCTGGTTCTCCAAACAATGCATAAAAGAAAACAAGCACACATCATAGTGCACACCAATATAAACACCTTTATTTAAAAATCTTACTCACAAGAGTATGCAGTGATAGTCCGACAGTAAGCAGATGTAAACACTAAAGACTGATGGAGGTGGTCGAGTGATGTCTCCTGGGATGTAGTATTCCTTACCTTGAGCACTATAATCATTTCAGACACTGGATCTTCATACAAGGGGCAGACTGACCATTCCAGCACTGAATGAGGGCCTGCAGCCAGGAGGGGGCCTGTCACCCATCAGTACTAATCACTTGGTGTTTGAGTACAGCGAAGGATCAGTAAATATTACAATTTTTGTTACTGATCCTGAAGCTCTGCCCCCTCCCACTGGAGCTTTCCACCCCACTTAGCTTCCTGACAGCTTTCCCCTCCCTGCACTGCCCCACTCGGCCTCCTGACAGCTTTCTCCTCCCCGCAGGGCGCCGGCAGCTGGATCAGCTCTGTGTCCCCTTTGCCTGCTTCCTCTGCTGAAACAGGCAGGGGAAAGCAGCGTGGATTGGAGGGGACACAGACCAAAGCTTGCAGCTGGGATCCCAACACGGAGGAGAGAAGCTAGGGATGCACTGCATTTTCAACTGTTTTTTGTACTAGCGGCATTTTGCCCATAGTATCACTTTCGGCTAATTTGTTTCAGCGGCCTAAATTTTTGGTGCATCCGTCTTTGACGACCATTCTGCTGTTCAAACCTATAATTGATATAGCAGTAAATTACAAAAGGAGACCCTTGAATCAAGCAAGTAGTGTATTGATAAATGACAGACCTTTTCTTCTCCCCCTACACAGATCAAATTGCTGTTTTGTGTCTGAAATAGTAAACTGGTTTCCTATTTCTTTAAATGGGTAAACATAGCTGCTGCATAGATACTGTATATCAAATAAGACTTTAAAGTGTGCATTCATATTTAGTAAAATATTGTTTTTACTAAACAATGATATTGGTACGGAATTGAAAGAAAAGAAGTCCATGTAATCGTGCTTATTCAGTAAATTGAGTCCAGTGATATGTAACGACAGTAGCCAATAACAAAGTAGAAAAAATATAGGTCACCAGCACTCAAAATAATTTAAATGAATAAGTCCTTTTTATTGGACAATTGTGTCACGATAATCAAAAAGAGCCTTTTTGATTATCGTGACACAATTGTCCAATAAAAAGGACTTATTTATTTAAATTATTTTGAGTGCTGGTGACCTATATTTTTTCTACTTTGTATTTTGCACGGTGCCATCCGTGGTAGTTACTACAAGCACCATTTTTGTTTATTGGCCGGGACTGCTGAAAGGTGTGCGGAGAGCACCCTCACCAACTGCAACTTAGTAGCCAATAACAGACTTCAGTTAAAGTGACACTAAACTCAGGAGTTAAATCTTAAAAATACATTCAAGTACCTGAACTATTTAAAAAAATGTATCTTATTTGTCTATCACTCGGCGGTAGATCCTCAAATCATCTCTGAATTGGTGCTGACACTGTCCTTCCTTCTGGAGGGTGGCTGCTTTTGTTCCCCATGGTCCCTGTGTGTTGTAAAGTAGACTCCGCTCCAACCTCACTCCTGTGAGGGACTACAATCTCACGTTTTGTTAACTTATTTGTATGGAAGTAAGTCTATCACTGGAGCAAGCTTGCAGTGGTGACTACTTTTCAACACACACAGGGACCATGGGGAACAAAAGTAGCCCCCCTCCAGAAGGAAGGACAGTGTCAGCACCAATTCAGAGATGATTTGAGGATCTACAGATGAGTGATACACAAATAAGATACATTTTTGTTAATAGTTCAGGTACTTGAATGTATTTTTAAAATGTAACTCCTGAGTTTAGTGCAAGACATGTCCATCATGCTACCTCTAGAGGGCACTGCTTGAAAAGGGGTTCCATCACTATGCATAGAAATTACTCTACTCTATAGCTGTGTCCAGTTCTGTTTTGGACCAGACTCTTTAGCTATGGAGCAATGGTTGAATAATGTGATCTCAATCTATAATATATTTTTATTTTTCAGGGTTCATTGCATCATGCACTGTGTATTGTGCTTGTCCTTCATCCTGTTGGTTTATACATCCTGTAGTGTCCAAGCAGTGGTGCGGCAAAGAAGTCAAGCTGACATATTAAATGACATCAATGAAAAAGTTAATGATTTGTGGAATGTATATGGTAGCAAATATCCCTTACTAAATAATGCTGACAGGATGCTATATGCTATTTGTAATCTGCAACCTAATCCTAAACTGAATGTGACTGAACCTAAAATCACTGGACAAATCCTGTTTAAGCAAGCCTATCCACAAGGGAAACTGGAGGCACACTTTGCTGTACAAGGATTTCCTTTGAATCCAATTGGATCTGCAAGAGCCATTCACATCCACACATTTGGTGACCTCAGTAATGGATGCGACTCTGCTGGCGGACACTACAATCCATATTCTGTAAACCACCCTCATCATCTTGGAGACTTTGGCAATTTCCATGTTCAGAATGGAGAGATCCAACAACACCTCTCTAATCTTGAAGCTAGCCTTTTTGGCCCAGTCTCTGTTATGGGTAGATCCGTTGTACTCCACAAGTTTCTTGATGACCTCGGCAAAGGCAATAACCAGGCCAGTCTGGAAAATGGAAATGCCGGACCACGTCTAGCTTGTTGTGTGATTGGGTTCACGAATAAGGCTGCCTGGGACAAATGCATGCAAGGGTCTGATAATAAATAGTGAATCCTTATAAAATAGTAACATAAAGGGTCAGCCTACTCCA